GGGCAGGTTATGGCCAGAGGAGCCTTGGGCAGGGAGCAGCCCACCCCAGCACCCTCCTAGAGACATCCATGCGGCTGTATGTTGCCCTCATTTACTTTTATAATAAAAAATATTACAATAAAAATGAAGTTTTATTACTCAGTTACATTATCTATATCAGTGATCATTAACTGCCCGACTTTTTCTGTTCATCAGCTATCCTTACTGTTAGTATAATTTATGTGTGGCCCAAGACAATTCCTCTTCTTCCATTGTGGCCCAGGAAGGTCAAAAGGTTGGACATCCCTGCTCTAGAAGCTAGAAATCACTGTGGTAGACACCGCTACTACACTGCTACTACAGTGATCTCCACTGGCCTCTGTGTCCCATGCCGGATTCCCTGTTGAATTGTGAACACAAGAGGTCAGCCACTTGGCATGGGGGGCCATCCAGAGAATACTCTGTATTGTCTTAATGAATGAAAGCGTTCTCTCATTGGATGAGGTGGAGAGGCAGGGTGGCGATGTCACACTCTCCTCCTCAACCAATCAAAGTATGCTCTACATTCATTGGATGAGGTGGAGATGCAGGGAGGTCAGATCATTCTCTCCACCATGTCCAATCAAAGAATGCTCTACATGCATTGAGAAAATGCAAGAGAGAAATCCTCAGCTTCAGAGGAAGTGGGTTGAACGATACTTCAATGATACTTCAACTACTACTTGATATGAGGACATTTGGATGCAAATAAAGTCACTGTATGGGAAGTTTCTGGATTGAAGGTGAAAATTGCAGCCAAAACTAGTTCTGTTATTTTACGTTTAAATGGGCTACTCATTTTTATGTTATTTTTGGCTGAAGTTCAGCTTGAGGTTGTTCCTACAGGACTAAAGGTGAAGGAGAATTTACCCAATGGGAAACCAATGGGAAAAAAAGATAACATGGGGTTTACCCATTCCATCTTCTATCCAAAATGTCTTTAGATCTTTTTTCAAAAAATATATACAGTATATAGTTGTATTCTAATCTATTGCAACCTGATTCAAGAGAGCTCCTCATGTGTGGGTGGGTCTGCTTCCTCAACATGTACAACATCTCCTTGGCCTACTTGCTTTATCACCAATGAGCTTTAGGTGTCCAAAACAGTGATTGGAGGCTCTGACACATTCTCTGGTGGTGTCATGGTGGTCTCCCTTAATTTTTTGTTCATCTTGGAGACCACACTGGGCGGTGAGTGACACCCTTGGTGATAAAACCTGCAGGCCAAGGGGATGTTGTGGATGTTGAGGAAGCAGACCCACCAACCAAGGCAGTGCTGCATCTGACTTGAGGCTCTGACACATTCTCAGTTGTAGAGGCCCAATGATGGTGTCACAGTGGACTCCTCTGATTTTTTATTCATCTTGGAGAGCGCACTTGGGGAGAGAGACACCACCATTTAGCTTTGTAATGGCCATGACAGTTAGGTGGAGAAGTGTATTCTGATATCCTTCCTATGGAGTCACCAAAAATATAAAAGAAACTGGCATAGGATTCAACTTTCCAGCAAACTGAAATATAATTTCTGGGAGGTGTAGACTCCTAGGGCCTATTTCCATTTGCGCGGAGCATTAACACACATTATGTGTTAACATGAGCTACATTAAAGGCAATCTATTGAAAGTAATGGGCTGTCAATGTCTTAGTGGCTGGGGTGCCACATGTATTGCCTTAATGGTTGGGGTGCCATGTCCATTGCCTTATTGGTTAGGTGCCATGCCCATTGTGTTAATGGTTGGGGTGCCATGTCCATTGCCTTATTGGTTAGGTGCCATGCCCATTGTGTTAATGGTTGGGGTGCCATGTCCATTGCCTTATTAGTTGGTGCCATGCCCATTGTGTTAATGGTTGGGGTGCCATGTCCACTTGCCTTTTGGTTGGGTGCCATGCCCATTGTGTTAATGATTGGGGTGCCATGTCCACTGCCTTACTGTGGGTGCCATGCCCATTGTGTTAATGGGGTGCCATGTCCATTGCCTTATTGGTTGGGTGCCATGCCCATTGTGTTAATGGTTGGGGTGCCATGTCCATTGCCTTATTGGTTGGGTGCCATGCCCATTGTGTTAATGGTTGGGGTGCCATGTCCATTCCCTACTGGTTGGGGTGCCACTTGTATTGTGTTAGTGGTAGGGGTTCCATGTTCATTGTCTTAGTCTTTTGGGTGCCTTGTCTATTTCCTTATTGGTTGGGTGCCATGTTTATTGCCTTATTGGTTGGATGCCACGTCTTTTGCCTTAGTGGTCAGAGTGCCACTTGTATTGCATTAGTGGTTGGGATGCCATTCAAAATGAATGCCACCGCAACACATTTAATGGTTCTGGCATGTTCCAACAATGCACAGTAGTAAATGGGTCCTGAAAAAAGCAACAAGTCATCAGTAAAAGGTAAAAACATGTCCTTAATACCCAATTTTCACTAACACGCACTGTGAATAGAGCCCTTGGGTTACGTCAATAGAGAACAATGGAAGTCTTCTGAAATTTTCAGAAGCACCTGACTATTTGACTCAATGCAGGAGTTATTAGTGATTATGTTCTCTATCTCCTGCTATGCTCACAAATAAATTACGGACATTTGTGCACCAGCTTGCGAGTCCCGAAAAGACTCGGGAAAGGCGTTAATATTGCTCCATTGAAGTCAACGCTGGCTGGAGACACAGTTCTACATGGGGGAAGGGGCAGGGAGACAGGTGTTCAAATAACAGATTTTCAGAGCCAAAAACTAATTTCAGCCAAAATGAGATTTTCTCAGCCCATGTTCTGCAGCTGAAACCAGTCAGGAATAAACCGCCTTAGCCGTACAGTTGACCTAATTCAATCTTGCCAGCGCCGTTCAAACAGAACACACGGCTGGAAACGGAATGACGGTTCTAAAGATTATTCCAATATGGCGTGTTCAGCAGAGATAATCAACAAGTCTAAAGCTGGTGGTACACCGGCAGAATGTTGTTCTACAAAATTCAGTTTTGGATGAATCGAAGGAAAAGGGTGGAGTTTTTTTCTTGAACAAAGGAGGTTCTAACTGGGAATGTGGTTTTTGTTTGGGAAAAATCATACCCTCTTGAAAGGTGCATGTGGTCATCTCGAAATCAGATGCAGAATTTCAAACATTTGTATGGCAATCCAACAGCATTTTTCAGAGGTTTTTTGTTTTTTAAATGTTTTGAGTCCATAATGGTATTATTGAATGCTCTGAGAAACAATTTTTCTGAATTTCCATACAAACGAATGAAATTCTACTGCTCTAATGCCAGCTTAAAGCAGAACTACACCCCCTCAATCAGCATAAACTATTTTTAATCCTTATACTGCTAGCATTAGTAAATAGATTGGAAAGTATATTCTATTTACTTGTTTTAAACTTTTTCTTTTTTTTACATTTCCTCAGTTGCTTCCTGTTTTTTTTGCCTAGGCCAAAATGATGTCATATATCCCAGGAGACTGAATGGGCAATTTTGTTTCTTTCCTTTGGAGGAGGGGCTTTTTCAGTTAAGCATACCCTCCTACCAGCATGCCTGAGCTAAGGGGAGATGGACTCCAGGAAGTAAATGTACATGAATGATCTACTCTTGCTCAAGGTGGCCATCACTGGAAATGGCTAGGGAGGTGATTTTTTTTAAAGGGATTTCCAAACAACATAAAGTATGGAGAAATGGATGGATGGGGAGTTTGCTGTGAATATTAAACATTAATCAAACAGCGTTTTCAGTTTTGTGGTGCTCAGATACAGTTTAGTTCCACTGTAATACCAACCCTAGGAAAAACCTTTCAGAGCAACCAATAAGATGGCGGCATCCATATTTCCACGTTTAAAAACATAAGATATAAATGAGCACTAGGTATAAAGCTGCTAGCATCAAGGTAAACCTCCTACCCTCTAAAAAGTCTGATATAAAAAAGGATGCAGTGCTAAAAAAAATAATACAAGTGAAAATATTATTATTATTATACAGTATTTATATAGCGCCAACAGTTTGGTCAGCGCTGTACATAATAATGGGAGACAGTACATGAGACAGTAACAATACAATAATACACAAGGGGATCGAGGGCCCTGCTCCTTGGAGCTTACAATCTAGGAGGGGGGGATAGTGGTACAGGAGGAAATGGCTGTGGGGGGATGGAGCGGTGGGAAGAGCGGAGGAGAGATCGGCAATTAGGTAAGGGCGGGGTAGGCTTCCCTGAAGAGATGGGTTTTCAGGGTAAATGCTACAGTAATAATCTTCCCTTGCTCAAGATGGCCACTGCCAGAAATGTCAGGGGGTGTTTTTCAAATTTATTTCTCAGCAAAGTAAAACATGGAGACATGGATGGATGTGGGAGTTTACTTTAAATAGTACCAATGAATTTATTTTATTTATTACAGGTACTTATATAGCGCCATCAATTTACACAGCACTTTACATATATATTGTACATTCACATCAGTCCCTAATCCTCAAGGGATGTACAATCTAAGGTCCCTAACTCACATTCATACATACACATACTAGGGACAATTTAGACAGGAGCCAATTCACCTACCGCATGTCTTTGGAGTGTGGGAGGAAACCAGAGTACCCAGAGGAAACCCACGCAGGCACAGGGAGAACATGCAGACTCCAGGCAGGTGGCACCATGGCTGGGATTTGAACCAACAACCTGAGTACTGCCAGGCAGAAGTGCTAACCACCTAGCCACTGTGCTGCATGTTTAAATAGTATTTTTTGGTTTGTGGTGCTCAGATGCAGTGCAGTTCCAATTTAAATTAACATTTTTTTTTTTCGTTTTTGTGAGTCCCACTCTAAAGTGTTACTAAACCCCAGACCCTGCATTCACTGTATCTGGTCCCCCCTGGACCCTGCATTCACTATATTTGCTCTCCCCAGACCCTGCATTCACTATATCTGGTCTCCCCGGACCCTGCATTCACTATAGGTCTCCCCAGAGCCAGCATTCACTATATCTGGTCTCCCAGGACCCTGCATTCACTATATCTGGTCTCCCCGGACCCTGCATTCACTATATCTGGTCTCCCCACACCCTGCATTCACTATATCCGGTCTCCCAGGACCCTGCATTCACTATATCCGCTCTCCCCGGACCCTGCATTCACTATATAAGGTCTCCCCGGAATCTGCATTCACTATATCTGGTCCTCCCTGGACCCTGTATTCACTATATCTGGTCTCCCCGGACCCTGCATTCACTATATCAGGTCTCCCCGGATGCTGCATTCACTATATCTGGTCTCCCAGGACGTGCATTCACTATATCTGGTCTCCCGGACCATGCATTCACTATATCTGGTCTCCCCGGACCCTGCATTCACTATATCAGGTTCCCCAGACCCTGCATTCACTATATCTGGTCTCCCAGGACAGTGCATTCACTATATCTGGTCTCCCCGGACCATGCATTCACTATATCTGGTCTCCCCAGACCCTGCATTCACTATATCTGGTCTCCCCGGACCCTGCATTCACTATATCTGGTCTCCCCGGACTCTGCATTTCATATACCTGGTATCCCCGGGCCCTGCATTCTATATAGCAGTATATAGCAGTCTTGTGACTTCTATCAGTGTCCAGCAGAGCACTGGTTAAAGCTTGTCGGAGGAGTTTTCTTTCTGCTCTAGGAGGATGCTGGACCCCTGACCTCTGTCTAGATAGTGCTGATTGGCCCTGTGCTGATCACATGCACTCTCCCAAGAATGAAAAAAACCCTCTCTAGCAATACAAACCACACTGAGCATGTGCAGAGTGACTCCACACATGTGTTATCAGGAGGGAGACACTGGAAGAAGGGGAGGATCAGAAAAAACAGGATTAAACATCCTTTTTACACAATGCAGAGGATTAACCCCTTAGGTTCCACAGTGAGTATAACAAGCATGCTTTACTGCATCTACAGACTGATTTCACAGTTGGGGGTTTAGTAACACTTTAAAGTCACGGGTTTATTTAAAGTCACCTACAGACATGATACGGTAAGTGGACGTGCATATGCCTGTTTCCTGGCTGTTAAATGAAGCTCTAATGCCTCTCGTCCCCTTTATGCAAACCCTGAATGTAGTAAAGGCCTGGCCGCCCTTTAGGACTCTTCTTCCTCCATGACCACAAGGAAGGAACTTTCTGTAGGAGAGTTCAGAAAATAGAGGAATGTCAATGATGCCTTCTGCAAGTTGAGTCTTATAAGCGGAAAGCTGTAAAACCGGTCGGTTCAGCTGCTGCTGAATGGCGAGGAGAACAAAAGCGTTTTATGTTGCTGGCCGGGCTCCGGGCTCGGAGTTCTCTCAAATTCTGCTGATTTTAATCTCGCTCACTCTTGGTTTTGAAGAATGAGCTGAGATGAAGCAGATAATCCGGCCATCAGGTCAGATGAAAATTCGGGTAACGAGAACCGGCGCAGCCAGATCGAATTCCGCTCACCGTTACGTTTACTCTTCTTTTTTAGGTGACGGCCGTGAAGATTTAAAATACCGCAAATGTAAGACCCGCCGCTGGAGTCTGCTTATTTCTTTCTACAAAAAAGTTAAAGTGGTGGTCAGGGGCGGACTGACAACTCATGGGGCCCCCGGGCAATAGGGGATCATGGGGCTCCTGTGTCCTTGCCCAACGCAAAAAAAGCCTATGAAAAAGGTACCAGGGGCATCTCATGGGGCCCCCTACTGACCCCGGGCCCTCGGGCAGTGCCCGAGTTTCCAAATGGTCAGTCCGCCCCTGTTCCCAGCGCTGCTATTTTTTACATTGAGCTTTGGCAAGTGAGAGGTAGCCATGGGTGGCTCAATGTCTCAGCGTTCCCAACCACAGCACCACCTGCCTGGAGTGTGCACGTTCTCCCTGTGCCTGTGTGGGTTTCCTCCGGGTACTCCAGTTTCCTCCCACACACCAAAGACATGCTGGTAGCAGGGGCGGACTGACAACTCATGGGGCCCCTGGGCAATAGGGCATCATGGGGCCCCTGTGTCCTTGCCCAAACTCAAAAAAGCCTATGAAAAAGGTACCAGGGGCATCTCATGGGGCCCCCTACTGACCCGGGGCCCTCGGGCAGTGCCCGAGTTTCCAAACGGTCAGTCCGCCCCTGGTGGTGGTAAGCCTCCAAAATGAAAAATAAACAAAGCAGATCCCTCTATAGGGTACAATTGCCTCCAACAGTATCTCTGTACATGGGCCAGCAAGGTCTGTACTGCATGCTGCGTTCTTCCTCTGACCTGTTTGTCATTACTGAGTGCTGCGGTGACATAGGGGGGTTGGAGGATGGAACGTCATCGTGTGGCAGGGACACAGGCGTCTGACGCTCCCAGATGTTTTGAGTGCAGGAGAGGCTCTCCGAGGCTGCAGCTCTGGATCAGAGTAAAGGTTGGAGAAATGGCCCAACAGAGAAGTGAGTATATGCTGTCTTCTTTGGCTGAGGGTTGCTGATTAAACCTTCAATGTTCATTCACAATAACGGTTGAGGGGTGGTAAAACTCAGTGGATAAGCTGCATTTTTACCGCCTCCACTTTAGCTTCAGAGGCGCTAAAGAGTGACATGCACCCACGCAGGGGTGGGACTGACCATTCGGGCTCTCGGGCACTGCCCGAGGGCCCAGGGTCAGTAGAGGGCTCCATTTTATAGGCTTTTATAGGCTTTTTTTTGGGTGTGCTTTGAGTATGGGCACGGTCACAGGGGCCACATGATCCCCTATTGCCCGGGGGCCCCATGAGTTGTCAGTCCACTCCTGCACCCACGTGTACTATGCAGGCACACAAAACGGATGCGACCAAGAGAGTGATATGGACGGGCATGGGGCATGGCATTCAAAACCCCCCAAAAAAGGAAGCATTGAGGAATGCCCCCCCCCCCCCCACAAACAAGAGACACTACTGGAACAGAGAGTTTAATTATATAATAATGATAATTAGGTGGTTTAAGGTCTTGTTTATTGTGCCCCCCCCCATCCCAAACTGCCTTCCCCCCTTAAGCTGCAGTGGCAGTGACTGGGGGTGTTCAAATGCTGCGGCCGTGATGCCTAATATTATGCAGCACATCGAACACGACCCACTCAAGCAACAAGGGGAAGTGCTGCAAACAGTGGCGTCCCGAGGCAGGTTCGGGGGGTGCGCTCCGCACCGGGTGACACCAACCGCACGGGGGTGACATCGGACCCGTTCCACGAAAAGGTACGTTGTAAAGCAAGCCGACGATCCCCGCAGGATGGATCCGATTCATCCTGCGGAGATCGTTGGCTTTCTTTACAACCTATCTTTTCTTGGAGCGGGTCCGGTGTCACCCCCTATAGGTCCTGCGGGGATCGTCGGCATGCAACCTATACGGGGTGACACCGGACCCGCTCCAAGAAAAGGTAAGTTGTAAAGAAAGCTGACGATCCCCGCAGGATGGATCGGATCTGCTGATTGAGCATAATGGATCAGAGTCCGATCCATTATGCTCAATCCGCAGATCCAATCCATCCTGCGGGGATCGTCCGAGGAGTTGTCACCAAATGTTACCGCACCGGGTGACACCAACCCTAGGGACGCCTCTGACTGCAAACACCCCACAACCCCGTGCAATTCATTTGCTCCCAGGGCGGACTGACAACTCATGGGGTCCCCGGGCAATAGAGGATCATGGGGCCCCTGTGTCCTTGCCCACACTCAAAACCACACCCAAAAAAGCCTATAAAAGGTACCAGGGGCATTTTATGGGGCCCCTACTGAACCCCGGGCCCTCGGGCAGTGCCCGAGTGTGATCGACAAGCGAATGGTCAGTCCGCCCCTTATTTGCTCATCAAAAATAGGGTAAACCAGGCAGTGAAGGGGCATCATATCACCTCCTAAGCGCCTGTCCATCACCTCTAAAAGCGAGCGGTGATGTCTAAAGCTGTGAATCAGTAAATGCAAAGCATTCTCTGACTGGACAAGATGCAACAAGCAGCAGGGCAACTGCTCGGCCCTGGATCTGGAAACTAGAGGAGATCACTGGTGTAGGGGTCCCTGATCACTGGTGTAGGGGTGCCTGCTACTGTGATTTCCATCTCTTCTAGGTTAGTGGTTGTCAACTTATGAGCTATAGGGGCCCTCAGCTGCGGCCCCTGACATCACCAAGGGGCCTCACATACCGTTCAAATACATGTAATGCTTGAGAGGTCAGAGACTGCAAACCTAATAGGGGAAATGAGAGTCAAGAGAGTGTGGACAGGATACAAAAGACACAACTGGGAACATGTTACCTGAGGCTGGTGGAGATCAGAGCTATTACCCTAATCAGTGTTCCCACTGCAGACTGCTGAGGTCTGGGGGCCACACATCGTATACTAAAGAGTCGAAAGCGGCCCTTGGGCCACAAGTTGGCACCAGGGGTCCCACAGGTATGGATTATACATAGTTACATTGTTGCAAGCTGTAACCATGTACAAATGACCATACCTGGAGTTAGGCTTTAACCTCCCTGGCGGTATGATTATTTCCGATTTTTGGTGCTGAAAGCGGTACCATTATTTTGCATGGAAATATGTAGTTTTTATTGTAGGCTGTAATATTTAGGAATAACTCACTGAAATCTGTCCGAACAAGAGTCTATTAAACATCCCGGGGATGATAAAATTTTAAACACAAAATCATAAATTATAATTTAATAAATAATCATAAAAAATAATAATATAATAATAATAAATTTAATTCAATAATGTAATCAAACCAAAAACACTGAAATGTGAAATATAGCGCCAAGTTCGCACATCGCTGAGCAAAGTCGCAGAATCGTTTTCAGTGTCTGATGAGGAATTTCCCCCACGAATCATTATCACTCAATTCTGCAAGTGGTTCTGATTTACTATCGCTGTTCTCTAGCCGGTCTAAAACCACTTTTGACCTAAAGGGACACTTTTTGGACGCCATGGATGTTTCTCAGTTTCCAGGCAGAAAGAACAGTAAAAATGCAGGCAGGGCGCCGGACAAAGCACTCGGGACAAAATGTATGTGAAATTGGTTGAGACAGCAATGTTTTACTATGTAAAATGTAAAAAAAAAAAAATGACATTATTTAAAATTTTTAAATTTCCCGCCGCCGCCGCCGCCCGTACGTCCCGACGTCACAGGGACAGGACACAGAAGCCGGATGCCGGCATCGGCCGAAGGAGATGGCCGGGGACGCTGCAGGGGACACATCGTGGGAGCGCAGGGTAAGGTAAGTGAAGAACAAATGCCGGAGCAGTGCCGCATGGTATTCCCGAGTGTAGCTCGGGGTTACCGCTCTTGGTACTGAAATGTTACCCCGAGCTACACTCGGGAATACCGCTAGGGAGGTTAATGCAGCACAGTGGCTAAATGGTTAGCACTTCCGCCTGACAGTATTGGGGTTGTTGTTTCAAATCACAGCCACGGCACCGCCTGCCTGGGGTTTGTATGTTCTCTCTGTGCCTGTGTGGGTTTCCTCCCACACTCCAAAGACATGCTGGTAGGTGAATTGGCTCCTGTCTGAATTGGCCCTAGTATGTGTATGTATGAATATGAGTTAGGGACCTTAGATTGTACACCCCTTGAGGGTTAGGGACTGATGTGAATGTACAATATAAATGTAAAGTGCTGCGTAAATGTACAGTGCTATATAAGTACCTGAAATAATGAGCCCTACAAGCCACATATATTGATATGATCATTCAATCGATCATTCGATGCAACTAAAATGAATTGAATAAGGATTTTAAAACCCAGAT